ACTGATCGAAATAGACTCGTCGAGGATCTCGCTTGTGGATGACTTGTTATCCATAGTACAAAAACGTTTGAAACGATTATCTGAACAAACGCTCCTCGAAGAAAGTCTCAATGCATTCCGAACGACCAATGTAGGCAGAAACTCTTTTGAGGATAAACTTGACTTTGAAAGCGATTCCGACAGTTTTCTTGAGGAAATTCGATATCCGTCATCTGCTTCTTCGACATTCAATTTTCAAGATATTTTTTCATTCCATGGTTTGTCGGAAAGTGATATATCAGAAACTCGTTTATAACTTGAAGAAAAGGATTATATATTTTCTGGGGATTCAGTTGCTGGCCTTTGAACTTTTCAAGCATAACAATACAATACAAATCAATATTCTATATTTAACGAAGGTGACGTAATTAACCCAATGAGTTATCTAACTTACAGCCTTATTTAGCAGTTTTTTAGTTATTATCTAATGTAATTTTCATTTTGCTCCCTCACTTGAGAACCGACATCATGGACATATAGGATGACGTTGCAAAGTTTAAGAGACGGGAAAACTGAAGAGGCAAGCTGGCTCGTTGTTGTCGTTGTTATTTTCTTAACGCAGTGTTAAGTAATACCTCAAAGGAAAGTGACATAACCTGTCGTCTACCAATATGAAAAATATGAGTACGTCACCCAAATATTCAAATATGTGGTTCTCAATAGAAAAGAAAATACGAATATCTTATCAAAAACTAAAATAGAAATTCATATTAAGGAAAATGCAATCTCTCTCAAGAAAAACCCAAATAGTATTCGGATGTTTACCATTCAAAAAGTCTTATTTTTCCATTAAAATAAAAGATGCAGATCCAAATTTTCAGTTTTTTTGTTTATTTTAGTCGTAGTGTTAGTCAATAACCAGAGATAAATGACACGTTATAACCAATCAGCCTCTTTCTCCAGACAGAACGAGCCCAAACAGACTTCTCGTTTGAAGTTTGTAAAAGTCATCATGTTCCACATTTACTGCTTAAGTTTAAGAGACGATAAACCTGAAGTGGCAAGTTAGCTCGTTGTCAAGTAGTTTAAGGCCTGGGTTTTATCTTGGTTCGAGACCCCCAGCAGAGTTTCAAGACTTAAAAATGGCGGCCGTTACCGCATGGCGCGTTCGAAGTTTAGATCAGAGAGCCTTTACGCTTTTGGGGAGGCGAAGATGGATATATTTACCGAAAGTTTTTTAGAAGACGTTGTTTTCGTGCAAATGTGAGGTCTACAGCTGAGGTGAGTGGTAGTTTTGTGTTTCATTCGGCAAGTTAGCTCTTATTTGCCGTAGCTTCCATAATGCTCTGAGGCGTAAATCCAAATAACGAACATTTCATTCAAGGAAAGCGCATTTTTTCGTTTACTAAATTGTGGATTAGAAATTTTTTGGTATGTTTCGGAAGTTCCATTCTCGTCACTGTAGGATGAGGTGGAAATTGATAAACCGCGGAGTGAAAAGTTACCCGTAGCGTAAATTTTGTTGTTTACCAAATTAAATTAAATGCCTCGGCTCAATCCCGAGTTACAAATTTAACGGTGATTTACAGTAAAACACTTTTTTGGGTAAATGTATTCATATGAGCTTCAACAAAGAGAGTTTATTACTCAATCTACAAGGCATGTAAATGAGAGAGAGCAAAAAGCTATGCGTCAGCAGTGGTGTTCTTACACATGTGCAGCGAAATTTAAAGTATACATATCTATACGTCTTAGATTGAATCGATCTCAAGAGAGGTGACAAACTAAATTGGGATGTCGTCTTTAACCTTAGTTAACAATGACTGATTTTCCAGCCTGTGACAAATAACACAAACATTCTCATGATGTATGAACATGGCAAATAGGAATCTGACTGCTACCTTTTCTTAACTATGATTTTTACTTACATTCTTAAACAACTTCCACATTCATCAGGGTATGTTGAGCAACTTGTGAAATTAAAGCCATCTAAACTTTGGCAGTATTTTAAGTCAAGTAATGTAAACTGTGGCAAGAGACTTTTCTAATTTCATGTTCACAGTGTATTTTTTTCAATCCATAGGGACAAGACGGCTCAACAGCACAGCTATCTTGCAGTCAAACATAATCTGGTTCTGTCCTGGTGTACTGGTTCACAAGGGAATTACCATTGTTCTTTCTTTGTTTAGGAGTTATTAGTTAGCTATTGTGTATTGTTTGGTCTTTTGTATTGGCTCTTGTGAACCGGTACACGAGGACAGAACCCATAATCTTTGACTTGCTTATGATGAAGGTGAGCAATTAGTAATTAAGTGTTAATTATCCTTACAATTACAGGAGATGAAAACGTACAAAACTAGAACATTAAATGATAATTCATTCGCTTTTTGGCTTCCGAAGCCAGCAGCTTTACTTTCCCATCAAAGATTTGTCCGGTGATCGACCTTCAGACGACTATAACCGCCATATTTGATTTGCGCCTTTTTGGTCAGCGGTATATTATGGTAGTCAAGTCTCGCTTATGTATTATGTTCGAAAAGAAGCAAAATGACTGCTTCTTTCGTAGTTCAAAAAAGGGTAGTCAGAATGCTATCGCCGGTGCCGAAGTTTCCATTTCAAGCAGTTATTTTTAATGAAATGGAAGAAGGTGTTGATAAACTTTATCTTCACGTTTGGAATGAAGTACCGAGTGGAGTTGATAACAATCTAAAGACCATTAAGTTGAGAAAAGTTCCTTCTCAGCTCCTAAAAATCTCTAATCTCTTTTTTAAGGAACGAAGGAAATTCATTCCAAACGTAGATGGCTAGCATTTTTGTGATGAGTATTTTTCTCTTTCATTGATCAGTAACGATTGTGTGTAAATCTTATCAATTCCGATAAAAACCGATTACGCAGCGTTTTGATCACGTGATCTGACACGCGACCGTCGTCGTCGACATTGTTGCCATAAGGTAAAAGTTCGTATGAAAATCTATCGTCCCTGAAAGTTTCAGCGAAATCGGCTGTATATTTATGGAGATATGGCTGTTTATTTTGTCAAGGCAAGTAATTTCCTGACCCAGGCCTTAAACTACTTGAGGTTGTTGTCGTTGTTATTTTCTTAACGCAGTGTTAATTAATATCTCAAAGGAAAGTGACATAACCTGTCGTCTTCCAATTCTCATTGCAAATCGCACGTTTTTCGTCTCCATGGTGTATTTTATTTAAAAACAGTTTTTCGTTAGTCCTTTTCTTATTTCAAATAGCTGTTTTTGGAACGCAGCTGTTGGGGTTACGACATTAAGAGGAAATGTGGCCAAAAATCGAACATCTTCAAAATATGGTGGCAACAGCCGAAAAATCGATTCAGCTCATATTCTCAAGTTAGGTAGGCCTTATGGTGAAACAAAGCACTGC